ACCGCGTCCCGACACCTGCATCTTTGTCCCGCACCCGGCATCCCGCATCCCACCGCCTGCATCCCGTGTCCCGCGGCCCACATCTCATGTCCTGCAACCCACAACCTGCATCTGTGTCCCGCATCCCGCATCCCACTGCCTGCATCCCGTGTCCTGCACCCGGCATCCCATGTCCTGCAACCCACATTCTGCATCCTATGTCCCACATCCTGCATCCCATGTCCCACATCCTGCATCTGTGTCCCGCATCTGGCACCCCGCATCCCACCACCTGCATCCCATGTCCCACAACCTGCATCCCATGTCCCGTGGCCCTCATCTCGTGTCCCACAGCTCACATCCCACCACCTGCATCCTGTGTCCCGCATCCTGCATCCCATGTCCTGCAACCCACGTTCTGCATCCCATGTCCCACAACCTGCACCCCATGTCCCATGGCCCGCGTCTTGTGTCCCGCAGCCCGCATCCTGCATCCCATGTCCTGTGGCCCGCATCTCATGTCCTGGATCCTGCATCCCATGTCCCACAACCTGCATGCCATGTCCCAAGGCCCACATCTTGTGTCCCGCAGCCAACATCCCACCACCTGCATCCTGTGTCCTCCATCCTGCATTCTGTGTCCCGCATCCTGCGTTCTGTGTCCCACATCCTGCATCCCATGTCCTGCAACCCACATCCTGCATCCCATGTCCCGTGTCCCACATCTGTGTCCCGCATCTGTGTCCCGCATCTGGCATCCCACATCCCACCACCTGCATCTTGTGTCCTGCAGCCCCTGTCCTGCCGCCTGCATCCTGTGTCTCACATCTCACATCTGGGATCCCGCACAGCCCCACGCAGCCCCACACAGCACTCGGACACCGGCTCCGTGCCACACTGCACCACAGCACACTGCACCATGGCACACTGCGCTGCACCGCACTGCACTGCGCTGCACCATGGCACACTGCACCACAGCACACTGCACTACAGCACACTGCGCTGCACCACGGCACACTGCACCACGGCACACTGCACTGTGCCACACTGCACCACAGCACACTGCACCATGGCACACTGCGCTGCACCGCACTGCACTGCGCTGCACCATGGCACACTGCACCACAGCACACTGCACTACAGCACACTGCGCTGCACCACGGCACACTGCACCACGGCACACTGCACTGTGCCACACTGCACCACAGCACACTGCACCATGGCACACTGCGCTGCACCGCACTGCACTGCGCTGCACCATGGCACACTGCACCACAGCACACTGCACTACAGCACACTGCGCTGCACCACGGCACACTGCACCACGGAACACTGCGCTGCACCACAGCACACTGCACCATGGCACACTGCGCTGCACCATGGCACACTGCGCCATGGCACACCACACTGCACCATGGCATGCTGTGCTGCACCATGACATGCTGTGCTGCACCATGACATGCTGTATTGCACTGCACTGCACCATGCTGCAATGTGCTGCACCATGGCACACCATACTGCACCACAGCACACCACACTGCACCATGGCACACTGCACCACGGCACACTGTGTTGCACCGCACTACACCGTGCTGCACCACGACACACCACGCTGCAACATGGCACACCACACTGCACCTTGGCACACTGTGCCACACCATGGTGCATTGCACTGCAGCGTGCTGCACCATGGCACCATGTGCTGCACCGTGGCACTGTGTGCTGCACCATGGCACACTGTGCCAGACCATGGCACACTGCACCACACCACGGCACACTGCACTGCTGTATGCTGTACCGTGGCACTGCGTGCTGCACCATGGCGCACTGTGCCACACCATGGCACACCGCACTGCAGCGTGCTGCGCTATCATGCACAGTGCCACACCATGGCACACTGCACTGCCCTGTGCTGCACCATGGCACTGCATGGTGCACCATGGCACACTGTGCACACCATGGCACATTGCACTGCAATGTACTGCACCATGGCACACCGTGCCACACCATGGCACACCGCACTGCAGCGTGCTGCACCACGGCACCGCATGCTGCTCCGTGCCACACCACGGCACACCACGCTGCCCCGCGTCGCGCTGCGCCCCCCGTCCCTGCTC